AGCTAAACAGTGCAGTGGATAGAGCACCAGCCCTGAAGTCAGGAGGACCTGAGTTCGAATTTGACTCCAGACCAAACACTTAACACTTACTAGCTGTGTGACCCAGGGCAAGTCACTTAACACCAATTGCCTAAAAAAAAGGAGTTAGCTGCTTCACAGGATTATTGTGAGTAGAGCTCTTTCGCCTCATGACTTTTCTACATCTTTGGTCTTTTGACCTGGAGGTTCAGCCCTAGAGCTACCTCTTATGAGAGACCTTTCCTGATCTCCTGTTGTTAGATTTTCCTTCCTTTGACTCAGAAATTATTTTGTATTTACCTTGTACATATTTTATACTTACTTATCTACATATCTACATATCTTACTTATCTATACTTATCTATGTGCAGATTGTTTCTTCCCAGTCCCTTATATATGTTGTTGTTCAGTCATTTCAGTTATATCCAACTTTTCATAACTCCTTTTGGAGTTTTCTTGGCAATGATACTAGAGCAGTTTGCCATTTCCTTCTTCAGTGTATTTTACATATAAGGAAACTGAGGCAAACAGGTGAAGTGACTTGCCCAGGGTCACACAGCTAGTAAGTATCTGAAGCTGCATTTAAACTCAGGTCTTCCTGACTCCAAGCCCTGCACTCTATCCACTGCTCACTGCCTAGCTGCCAACTTAGTTATAGACAGAACTGTCCTCAAAGCCAAGAAGACCTAGGTTCAAGTCCAACTTCTGACACATACTGACTGTGTGACCTGGGGCAACTCACTTAAACTCTTGGTGCTCTATGCAGCTTGCTAAGATAAAATTGCTGAGAGGCATTGACTATCTATAGAGTAGTTTGTCATCAAAGTCCTCAGTCCTATTTTCAAGTTCCAAGCACTATGCTAAATTCTGGAGATACAGAGAATAGTCCCTGCCCACAAGGAGCTTATATTCTAATGAGGGAAACAACATATACACAAATCAGTACATACAAGATAAACGCAGGCTTGTAATCTAAGCTACCAGAGAGGCTAAGGCTGGTGCATCTTTTGAACTCAGAAGTTCTGATCTTTTGTGGGCTAAGCTGATCATTAAGTTCTTCATCAATGTGGTGAGCTCCTTGGATGGAAGGATGGGCAGGGGGGCACCAGATTGCCTAAGGAGGGGTAACTGAGCTTAGGTCAGAAACAGAGCAAGCCAAAGCTCTGGTGCCAATAAGGTGTTACCCCACTTCCACACATACACTTTAGGATATTTGAGTGAAGTAATTGAGGGAGAGAAGAATATGGGACTGGAATGTTCTCTGATTTGCCAGAGGTTAACCAACAAAGAGAATACGGATGGTCATACCTATGGTGTCAAATACGATGGAACTATCTGGGACCATATCAAAACTTATATATAAAGTTATTAATAGGAACAGAGGGAAACCTTCTTTGATGGTTTTAGTGGTAAAATCAAAAGAGAGAAACATTGTAAAGATAAACAATGCTGAAAGACTTAAGAACTCTGATAAATAAAATGACCAACCACAACCACGCTACCAGGGGGCCAGCAATATTGCATGTGACTCAACACCTGATAGAGCAGTGATTGACTCAAGATGCAAAATAAGGCTTACTTTTTTGGACATGGTTAATGTGGACATTTGTTTGGCTTGACTGTATATATCTAGCAAAAGTACTTCCTTTTTATCCTTGCCCCACCCTGGGGGAGGAAATAAAAGTGAGAGAGAGAGAGAGAGGGAAGGAAGGAAGGAAGGAAGGAAGGAAGGAAAGAAGGAAGGAAGGAAAGAAAGAAAAAGAAAGAAAGAAAGAAAGAAAGAAAGAAAGAAAGAAAGAAAGAAAGAAAGAAAGAAAGAAAGAAAGAAAGAAAGAAAGAAAAAGAAAGAAAGAAAGAAAGAAAGAAAGAGAGAAAGAAAGAAAGAAAGAGAAAGAAAGAAAGAGAAAGAAAGAAAAAGGAAGGAAGGAAGGAAGGAAGAAAGGAAGGAGAGGAGAGACGAGAAGAGAGGAAAGAGAAGGATAAATATGTTGTAGATGGAAGGCACCCTTATGATCTGAATGATCATTTGGAGGTTTATGTAAATTGTAAATAGCTATGATAATTCTGTTCTTTGTTACCATGGATAAATAGGAGATGACTGGATTCCTTCTAAAATGTTACAATAAAACCACACCCTCACACTCCAGCCCCACCTCCCTTAATGGGCAGAGCAATCCTACACAGTTGCTTCATCATGGTATGTACATTGTCCTATACATTTCTCAAGGCCTATGACAACAGAGCATAAACTCTGGGAGGATCTACCAAGTTGGAGGAACTTCAAGTATGGCCCAGCAATGGCTGCCTCAGCTTTGCTATGTCCAGAGAAGCTCACTGCCTAATGGCCATAAGGGGGTGATTTTTTTTGGTCCATAATAACTCTTCTAAGTCATAGAGGGGTCACAATCTGCATTAACAGAGGGAGTATCCACACCAGAGAAATCCACATTGAGTTGAAGTGTTGAAGTGGAATATGGAGGTGGAACATTAGAAGAAGTAAACTACATACCACTGATTCCTGTAACCACTCATTCTCTACAGCTTTCCTCTGTGTCTTGTTTCCCCATCATACTGAAATTATATTACAAACAATACAAAACTTTGTAGTGATTTATGACTTATTGTTGCCCTTCCCATACCAACTTGAATCCTATACTTGGAATCAGTGGACCTGGATTTGAAACCCAAATGAAACCTGTATGACCATGGGAAGTGCTTTCATATCTCAGAACCTCAGATGAGGTTGGTGGACTCAGTCTCCCAATACCTTTCCAATTCTAGATCTGGTGATGGTATTGTCCAAGCCATTTTTTCCTTCATGATATCTTCTGGGTCTACCCTTCCCTTTTACATTCCATAAAGCCACAATTTCACTTCATGCCCTGGTCATTTCTTGGGAGCAGGAGTTCTTAACCTTTTTTGTGTCATGGATCCCTTTGGCAGTCTCATGAAGTCTATGGACCCCTTCTCAGAGTAATATATTTAAGTAATTCAAGGAAATGTTAAATTTCAGTTAGAGGTTAGTGAAAAGAAAGATAAAATTTTTTCCCATCCAGATTCACTGACCCCCTGAAATCTATCCATAGACACCTCCATGGACTTCATTTAAAGAACCCATGTTCAACAGGAATATTATAGCCCTCTACTCTTTGGACTCCTCTCTTCTAATAAATTCTTTATAATATCATTTAAATTGTCTTCTATCAATTTGACCATATCTCCCCTGACTTTGCAAACCGTCCAATTCGTTCTCATGAAACTGTTGATCAAATCAAAAACTTCTTTATCCAGAGCACTGAATTTGAAGTATTCAGTGGGAAGTCATAGGATCTGAGTTCAAATCTTGACTCTTCAGGTTGCTACATTTATGGCCTTATACAACTCATTTCACCTGTGGGCTGCAAAAATCCAATCTGGAAGAAAAAAAAAACTGAGGTAGAGCTCTGAGCATGATTGATTTGTTAGGGAGACTGGTAGTCCCTAAGCAATTGGATCCAAGACCTTCCTCACAGTCAAGGATCCCTCTGCTCATTATCCAGCTGCTTTCATGGATCTTGGGAGATCACTAATAAAGTGTTACAGTTCGTGACTGGTCATCTTCGGAAGCAGGGAAAACTCTTATGATTGGTTAAAGGGAGATGTCCGTCAATCACTACTACTTTGTCAGCAGTATTCTGGGGCTTTCCACAGGCTATCCAAAACATTATGGCAAGGTATCAAGGAAGCACAAGGAAGCTGTGTTTTTTCAAGCACAGTTCTCTCATAGGAGTAGGGAGAAGGGGTAGCACAGCAAAATTTTTAACAGAAGTCAATATAAATCCTTATAGCAGGCCTAATTAATACAGTATAAACCCACCCTATTAATCAAATAGAAGTAATATTATCATCAACACATGATGGGTTAATTGTAACCCATATGACTCATTCTTACAGCATTAATTAAATCATACTTTATTCTACTTAACTCACCAATACAATCACTAATACCCATTAAATCACAATGAATTGAGTTAAAACTGATTAAATTGAGTAGGGTTATCAAAATTGTTTTCATACACCTCTCTGGACCTCAGTTTCTTTATCTTTATAATCTATATCTATAAAATCTAATATCCATAAAATGGGTGGATGGACTAGATGCCATCCTTTCCAGATAGACTGTGATCCTTTTATAATAACAAACAGGCACTGGTCTAGGGGGCTGTGGTTGTCACTACCATCAAGGGGCTCCAGATCTGGGCACGTGTTCAGATTGGGTTTAGTCCTGGCAAGCCTGGCCCAGAGCTTGAAGATGGTTGAAGATAATGTCCCTTATCTCCTCAATTAGCAAGTTTATTGTTACACTTGGAGACCTCATCTGGGATGAGAAAGGCTAATTCCAATGAACACTGAGGCAGCTAGGTAGCTCAGTAGATAGAAGGCTGGACTTATGGTCAGGAAGAACTGAATTCAAATCTATCTGTAGACACTAGCTATATGACCCTTGGCAAGTCACAACTTCTGTCTGCTTCAGTTTTCTCAATTATAAAATGGGGGTCAAAATAGCACCTACCTTACAGAGTTGTTGTGAGGATCAAATGAGATAATGTCTATAAAGTGCTTAGTGGAGTGCCTGGCACATAGTAGGTATTTAGTGAATGTCTATCCTTTTCCCCTTCCCCTCAATCCTATTTTGGTAGTGCTATGTATGTTTGGGTCTTATTTGGGTTTCCTTTCTTCTGGAATAAAACCTGCTTACCCTCTTCTAGATTTAAAAAAGTGATGGATAAAATGCTAATAACAGGTGAAATTTAAAAGTGTATTAGTATTCATTTTTCTGGAGAGTCAGTCATTAAACATTTACCAGCATGCCACTCTTCCTATTATACCATCCACCTGCTCTACTCTCCCAAATTAACTTAATTACTCCTTCATTCATTTGTTTGACTCCCACCCCTGAACCTTCTTAAAAGCTGTATCTTACATTTGGCATTCCCTCTTACCTTAATTTGGCAAACTGCATCCTGTCATTCAAAAAGTTCTTGCTGTAAGCTCCTCCTGGAAATCAGCCCTAAATAAATTGAAGGAATGTTAATGCTTCCCACAACATTCTACTCATCTTCTCTAGTCATTCCTGAACTTAGTTCCTTTGTGTGCACTTAAGTAAATATTTACCTTATACATTGTGTTTAATCACATATATTTAGCATATAATATAAAATATATGTAATTATAAGATATTTAATTATATAGCCATAAAAACCATAGCTTGCTCACTCCAAAGTTACTCAGTTAATTGCCAAATCTAAGAGCCTTTTCTCAGAGCTCATCCTTTGTGACCTCTCTGCTGCCTTTGACACAATAGATCACCCTCTTTTCTTTGATGTTCTCTCCTCATTCCACTTCTTCATGTCTGACCATTGCTTATTCCTACTTTACTGGATCTTCTTCTGGGTCATGCCTCATAACCATGGGTATCCCCCAAGTCTCTGTCCTGGGCCGTCTTCTCCCTCTGTACTGTTTCATTTGGTGATCTCATTAGCTCCCATTGATTCAATTACAATCTTTACACAGATGGTTCTCTGATCTATTTTGTTCAACCCTAACCTCTCTTCTGGCTTCTGCTCTCATGTTTCTAACTGCCTATTAGACATCATAGATTAGAAATCCCTTAAGACATTTTAAATCCAATATGTCCAAAATTGAACTCATTCTCTTCCCTCCTCCCACCTCCAAATGCTTTTTTTTTCTTTTTAACATTCCTATTCCTGTCAAGGGTACCACCATCTTCCCATTTATCTAGGTTTGCCATTTATATGTCATCCTTGACTGCTCTCTCCCTCTCATTCCCCCCATATCAACTCATTTACTGAGTCTTGTTGATTCTATCTTCTTAATATTTCTCTGCCTTTTTTCTGAGATGATCTCCAATCTGTCATATATGTATATGTATGTGGATGTGGATCCTTCATACATATTTGTTTGATGATGTCTTTCCCATCAAACTAGGAGCTCCTTAATAACAGGGACTCATTTTGCCTATCTTTGTATTCCCAACACTTAGCACAGCACTGGGCACATAGTAAGTATTTAATAAATGTTTGTTGACTTGTAGTAGAATGGAAAAAACAAAAAAATAAAACTGTATGCTACATAATTATTATGGTAATGATTGTCCCAGGAAAAGAGATAAGGGGCAGCTAGATGGTGCAGTGGATAGAGCTCCGGCCTTGGAGTCAGGAGGATGTGAGTTCAAATTCAGTCTCAGACACATGACACTTACTAGCTATCTGACCCTGGACAAGTCACTTAACCCTGATTATTCCATATACTGTCAGACTCAATTGATGCTTGGATTGGTTTAGCTGAACTGCTTTTTTCTCCTCTTTTCTTTGTTATAATATATGGCTTTCTAGGTTAGGAAGAAGAAAGAGATATCCTGGGAAATGAAGATTATATAAAGATAAAATATATCCATAATATTTAAAGTGGCTGGCCAAGAGGGAAAAGAAATCATAAAATGACTTAAGTACTTCCTTGTGGATTATATTTTCTGGTAGTGTCTTGGCAGGCATCTATTAGATTATAAGCTCCTAAAGAGCAGAAATTGGCTCTGCTCACTTTATATTGTTTCTAACATGTATAATCAAGAGTTTAATAAATGCTCATGATAATGACGTTGAATGACTTTGTTACCTATATAATCTCACTATTAAAACTCTTTAGGGATCTGAGAGGACTGGAAGGCAAGGTGCTCTGTCTTCTGTTTCCTTGACTACTCTGCACATTCTTATTACTCTAAACCTCAATTACCTGTATCCATTTCCATGGTAACATTTACTAGTGAGAGTCCGAACTGATTAGCAAGAAGACAAATTTCTTCTTGCTGAATTCTGCCAGAAATTAGCACTGGAAGCAAATCTTGGTAGATCTAGTTCTTTCATGGTTCCAGTGATAAGAAAGGAAAGGAACGTAAAAATTTGGCTTCTTTTTATGTGTTTATAAATGGAGTCAAGAAGCATTTATTAAATGCTTACTTTGTTCCAGACACTATTCTAAGAACTAGAGATTGTTTTTTAAAAAAAGCCATAGACATGTTTATTTTGAAAAGGATTTTTCTTGGTTCCTTAAAGCTAAACATTCCATATTATGTAGGTTCTGAGTCAACCTTTAATCTTTATGTGATATTCCCAAGACATATGGGACTCTAAAGCTCTAAGAGTCTGAACTAGGGGTAGGTAACTACTTAGGATAAACATACAGGGAGTTTATTATTTAAAAAAAAAATTTAATGCCAGAGAATTCCTCCTTCCATGTACTGCTGTAGGTTTTTTTTTTTTAAGTCTAGCCATCTGTGTCAAAGACTCAAAGTTTCCCCAATGAAGAGTAGCCTGCAGAGGGGATCAATTCTTAAATTTTGTCTAAGATATCCACACAAAAATTTCATCTTAGCTCAGCTTTTTACCTCCATCTGTTTGGATGAGGCCTGTGGACTTTGAGAAGTGGCATGTGGAAAAAGCATTAGCCATGAGGATCAAAAAACCATGACTGACATTCTCCTGAGCAAATCAGTTAACCTCTCCAGGCCTCAGTTTCTTGATCCGTAAAAGTAGGGGTTTGGACTAAATTAAATATGAGTTCTCTCCTACCTCTAACATCATATGTGTAATCTCAGTGACTTAAAGCTGATTTGGATCACTCTGATGAGGAGGCAATGGCAGCCATTTAATTTGATGTTTTGGGGAGGGGGATTTGACTGAGGGAGGAGGAGGGCGGAGAAGAGCCAAATATATTGGTAAAACCTTGAAGATATGCTTCCAATTTCACAAAATGAGAAGAGTTGTTTGTTTGTCTTAATCAGCTTTGCAAAAAGTTTCTGCAATCTGCCCACCTTTGACTGGAGCTCAGAGTGTTGATGAAACTGCTGACAGTGCACCTCAGGAACCTCATGGTGTTGGGCCCCACTGCTGTACATTTTTTTCATTCATTTATACTTATACTTAACCTGATATATTTGAGAGTGGATGTGACTTCTTTCAAGCCCTGGACTGAATTAATTTGTGTTTCTTTTGTTTTATGTGAATGTGGTTTGTTTAGGTTTTTTACCTTTTCTTTTTTTTATTATGAACATAATTATAAATATGAAACTTTCAATATACAAAGAACCAAAAAGATGATCATGAACTTCTGTTACATTTGCTTTGTCTTTTAAAAAGTGCATACAAAATTTAACAAGGTCATAACAAAATTTCCCCCATGCTTGTATCCATTTATGAACCTTTTTCCTTCTGTGTAATTTTTTCTTCCTTCCTCTCTTGCTTTCTCTTCCTTCCTTCCTTCCTTTCTTTGTTTCTTCATGATTACCTACTGACATACCCCACATTCACAAAAAAGGCCTCCCTTGTTATAAATCAGTATAGTCAACAAAACACATCAACATATTGAGAACATATGTCTCATCCTACACCTAGTTCATCACTCCTCTGACAAAGGCTAAAGACATGCTTCAATTCAATTCCAAACTTTCTTTTAATACCAAAATAAAATCAAAATGGGTACAAGACTGAGATATAAAGAAGGATACTATAAGCAAACTAGGAGAGCAAGGAATAGTTTACCTACTAGATCTATGGAGAAGGGAAGAATTTATGGCCAAACAAGAGATAGAGAACATTATGAAATGCAAAATGGATGACCTTGATTACATTAAATTGAAAAGCTTTTACATAGACAAAGCCAATGCAACCAAGATCAGAAGGAAAGCAGAAAGCTGGGAAACAATTTTTATAACCAGTGTCTCTGATAAAGGCCTCATTTCTAAAATATATAGAGAACTGAGTCAAATGTATAAGAATACAAATCATTCCCCAATTGATAAATGGTCAAAGGATATGAACAGGCAGTTTTCAGATGAAGAAATTAAAGATATCTATAGTCATATGAAAAAATGTTCTCAATCACTATTGATTAGAGAAATGCAAATCAAAATGATTCTGAGGTACCACATCACACCTATCAGATTGGCTAGCATGACAAAACAGGAAAATGATAAATGTTGAAGATGAGGGAAAATTGGAACACTAATGCGTTGTTGGTGGGGTTGTGAACTGATCCAACCGTTCTGGAGAGCAATTTGGAACTATGCCAAAAGGGCTATAAAATTGTGAACAATACCACTTCTAGGTCTGTATCCCAAAGAGATCATAAAAATGGGAAAAGGATCCGCATGAATAAAAATATTTATAGCAGCTCTTTTTGTGGTGGCCAAGAATTGGAAATTGAGGGGATGCCCATCAATTGGGAATGGCTGAACAAGCTGTGGTATATGAATGTAGTGGAATACTATTGTTCCATAAGAAATGATGAGCAGGTGGACTTCAGAAAAACCTGGAAGGACTTATATGAACTGACGCTGAGGGAAATGAACAGAACCAGGAGAACATTATACAGAGTAACAGCCACACTGTGTGATGACTGACTTTGATAGAATTAGCAAGACAAAGATCTAAGACAACTCCAAAAGACTCATGATGTTAAAAGCTATCCACATCCAGAGAAAGAACTATGGAATTTGAATGCAGATGGAAGCATACTAATTACTTTCCTTTTCTTTAGTTGTTTTGTTTTGATTCTTCTTTTTTGTGGTTCCTCTCATTGGTTCTACTTCTTTTTTACATCATGACTAATGTTAAAATATGCTTAAAAACACTTTCCTTTAAAGTCATTATCTACCACTGTGTTGGTTAGAGTTCTGAAGCCTTTAAAACTTTTTTCTTTTTTCAATACAATCCCATATTGTGGTCATTATGCAAATTGTTTTCCTGGTTCTGCTCCTATGATTATGTATCATAATATATATTTATATATTCATAAAAACATTCCCAGTTTTCTTTGAATTCTTCACATTTATCATTTTCCATGGAAGAACAATTTGATTATACTATTTTTAACATGCTAATTTATTCAGTCATTCCCCAAATGATAAGCACCCATTTTGTTTGCAACTCATCATTACAACAAAAAAATGATGATATCAAAATTGGGAGCATATTGATCTGTTCCCTTCATCTTTGATCTCTTTGGGTTATACGCGTAGGAGTGATATCACTGGGTCAAAGGATATGTACAATTTAATGACTTTGGAAATGTATTTCAAAATTATTTTCCAGAATACTTTGACTTTTTGGCAGCTCCATCAATAGTACATTAGCATGCCTATCCTCATATAACCCCTCTAATAATTGACATTTTCATCTTTTATTATCTTTGCCAACCTGATGGGGTGGACCCACAGAGTTGTGTTTAATTTGCATATAAAGTTACATACATTATTAAATAGTGATTAAAAGCATTCTTTTATTGTAACTGCTAGTAGCTTGTATTTCTTAATTTAAAAATTGCCAATAGATACATATCCTTTGCCTACTTATCTATTCTTATATAGTCATCTCAATTTCCTATGTATCAGTTATCAAACATCTATCAGATAAACTTGCTGCAAATATTTTTCTCAATTAACTGCTTCTCTTCTAATTCTTTTTTTTTTCGGGGGGTGGGGGCTAGGCAATGGGGTTGTGACTTGCCCAGGGTCGCACAGCTAGTAAATGTCAAGTGTCTGAGGCCGGATTTGAACTCAGGTCCTCCTGACTCCAGAGCCAGTGCTCTATCCACTGCATCACCTAGCTGCCCCTTCTCTTCTAATTCTAACTTCATTGACTTTGATTATGCTAAAATTTTTCAAGTTTTATTCAACTGAAATTGTACATTTTATCATCTATGATAACCTCTATTCCTTATTTGATTAACAATTATTCTCCTCATCATAGCTGCAAAAGGTATTTCCTTCTCTTTTCCTCTAATATGTCTATGGTATGACTTTTTATATCTAGGTCAGGGCTTCTTACATCTTTTCCACTTGCAACCCCTTTTTGCTTGAGAAATTTTTACACAACCTTGGATATATAGGTGTATAAAATAGGTATACAAATCAAACGTTTACTGATAATAAATCATAAATAAATTTATTTTATCACTTAACCCCAATTGCCTCACTAAAAAAAAAAATTTATTTTAAAATAATTCCTTGGAATACATATAATTTTACCATTTATTAAAGACAAAAGCAAATTTGCATACTAATGAGATGGATGTGCTTGTTTTTACATAAAGAATTAAATATTAGAATATTTGATACTGCAGGACTTAAAGTGTCTTCAACATTTTTCAGAATTAATCGATATTTTAATTTTATAATCATCAATGCTGAGAATGCTGCTTCACATAAATATGTAGTACAAAATGGCAGAAGTATGTTTAGAGCCATTTCAGAAATTGTTGGAAATTCTGTCCTAATTCCAAGCCCAAATTCATTTAATGATTTTTTAGGAAACTCAAACTTTAAGCCTATGTCACTTAATAACTCAGCAAATTTACTTAAACAGCATATTACTGACTTTTTTATTTCAATTGAATATGGTTTATGTACCCAATTTTAGTTTTTTAGAATCAATATTTGAAGGGAAGTATTTCTGAAATGGTGCCTCCAGGCACTTCAGATGATCAATAATAATTCCTACAATTAAATCTTTGGGAAGGTTATTTTCAATTATAAAATCATCTGTAGCTATAAACATTTCTAAAGAACCATTTTTCACCCTATTCTTCCAGAATATAACTTTTTTGGTAAAACATTCAATTTTATCTTTTATAATTTTTTCCTTGAAGTGACAAGTCATTGAGTTTTAAAAAAAATATTTGACAAATAACCATTTTGAAAGCCATAAGTCATTATGAAAAAAAATTAAAGGTTGGATTTCTGCTCAGGCAAAAATATAACAATTTCATCTTTCAAATTCAATAATCTGTTTAAACTTCACTCTCTTGAAAGCCATCTTACCTCTGCATGTAATAATAAGCTTTTGTAATTGGAATCCAAAGGTTGGAAAACAAACAACTGTTAAGGGCATGGCTTTTAATGAAGTCAGTGATTTTGATAATATCATCAAGTACAACATCTAACTCTGGTAATATTTTTTAGGCTATGAGTGCCTCCCAATGGATCATGCAGTGAGTAAAAGTGATACGTTCATTGCCACCAACTTTAACTTTTGCTACAAATCCAACATTCTTGCCCATCATTATTCCAGCACCATCTGTTGAAACGCCAGTGTAATTTTTCCACTGTAAACATTCATTTGTGAAAAATTAATTGACTTCAACATATGTATCTTCCCCTCTTGGGTGCCTCTCCAAAGGGTGACAAAACAATAATTCCTTGTGTATTCTTCCTTCATAAACATATCTTACATAAAGTAATAACTGAACCATGTTAGAAATATCAGTAGTTTCATCTAACTGAATTGTAAACTTTGGGCTGCCCTTAAGCCTGGTAATAAGCTGCTGGAATTGGTCATTACTAATTTCAGAAATTCTTTTGGAAACAGTATCATTCAATAAAGGAATTTTATGAATTTCATCCCCATACTTTTTCCCATGAATTATTTCTGACATTTTGATAGCAGCAAGTAACATGAGATCTCCTCTTATCACACAGAGCTTTTTAGTTTTTGCAACTAAATTGTAAAATACGAGTGAATACTTTTTGTTGACAGTAACAAATTTCTCAAAACATTGTTTTTCTTTATTTGAAGATTTTAAAAGTTGTTCAAAATATTCCTTTGATTTATTGTAGTACGTTGCATGCTTGGTATTAAAATGTCATTTTAGTTTGGCTGGTTCCATGCTCTCTGCAGCTGAAACATTACAAATTAAGCTTTTTCCATACCACCATCATTATTAGAAGTAAATTTATATTGCAAAAATGATTTGACATATTTTCTTTTTCTTGTCTATTTAGGTTACTACAACCTGGTAGCAAAAACTCAGCCACATTGTCATCAGTACTTTTACCTCCTCTGCCTAAATTTAGCCACTTATCCATAACTAAAAAATATTTTTGTCTTAAAATATAAATAAATATTGCTGATGATTTCTCAAATAAATACTAGTTTTAGTTTATGAAATTACATTTGTTTATGCTTAATTCTAAAAATTGATGTTCACACTTACTTACACATACAGTGGTGATGGTAGAGAAATATTATTAAAGGGCTTTTGTCTTTACTTGCTGCAATTAAACACTTATGTTTCTGTAAAAGAAGAAAGTAATGGCAATTTTTAAAATCAAACATTCTAACATAATACAATCCAAAGATATACTAACTTGATACTTACATGCTGAGGAATAAAGGTAGGAAAATACTAAAAGTCTTCATTTTCCATAATTAAACTATTATGTTTCTGTAAGAGCAGAAAACTTTGTATGTACAGTAAAAATATTGCAATTCATAACATACAATAAATAGTCTTGCATCTGAACCAAGGTGCTTCTGACAGCATTTGTTGCTGTTGTTTGGTGTGATGGCATGTGCAGTGCAAAGTCTGCATGTTGTGTGTTCAGAACCAAGGCTGCAGTGAAGTCGTGTGATGCAACATGGGCAAGCATGGCCAGAAGCACCTCGGATTCATTACGTATTTGATTTTGAATTAATTTTTGGTCATTGCATGTTCTGAAACCTTTTACTGTTGCTAAATTTTTCACAACCCCCACGTTCAGTTGCACAACTCCATATGGGGTCTCAGCCAAGAAGCACTGATCTAGGTTATGTATCCATTTGGAGTTTATTGTGGTATATGTTGTGAGATATTGGTCTAAACCTAATTTTTGTATCACAGCAATTTCTGTTGAATAAAGAATCCTTACCCTAGCACTTGGTATCCTTGGGTTTATCGACTATATTCAGTTGCTTCTGTTTCCTATTAATACAATAAGTTCCTCTGGGCAACTTTTCTATTTTTTAAATATTACCAAATAGTTTTAATGATTGCTAGGTCCTTTTCATTCCTAATTTTTTTCATTATTTCCCTTGAGATTCTTGGTCTTTTGTTCCTCCAGATGAATTTTATTATCTAGTTCTGCAAAGTAAACTCTTGGTACTTTCATTAGCATGGAAATAAATCTATAAATTAATTTAGGTAGTAGCACCATTTAAATTATATTTACATGATTTTTTTACATTATTTATTTACATTATAAATTAATATTTTCCCAATAATTTAATTCTTCCCTTATTTCTGTAAAGAATATTTTGCAGATACATTCATAAAATCTTGAATGTGCCTTGGTAGATTGACTCTCAGACACTTTATGCATTTTGCATGACCTATATTTAGGTCAGTTATGGTTGATACTGATACCTCACATGTTCTTCTAATTTTTCAATCTTTTTCCTTTGTTCCATTTCCTTGTTATGTCATAGGATCATTGATTTTAAGCCAGAAGGGACCTTAAAAGTCATTTAGGCCACCCTCCTACCTTTTGCAGATGAAGAAACCAGAGAGGTTGACTGCCCAAAGTTACACAGAATGATAGGGGCAGGATTTGAACCTAGGTCCTTTGACTCCAAAATCACTCCTCTTTCCATATTATTTTTCATTGAATTAATGCATCCTATTTGTTCCCTTCTTTTTTCCACGGTATCCACTTCTTGGGTAAAGTTTCTCCTTCCAGGTGTTCATTCTTTCCTCTTTTTTTCACCTCTTCCTTCATTTCTTTCATCTACTCCCAAGAATCCTTGTGACCCAGTATTTTTCTAGTGCTCTATTTGTAACCATAACTGAGTTATTTTCTTCTTAGGTTTCATCCTTTAATTGTTTTAATCCATAACATTTCTTTATTGTATTTGGAGTTTTCTTCTGTTTAGTTCTGTCATTCTCAGTTACTGGATTGGAACTTTGGGCAGGGGTCAAGTTGTAGCTTCTTTTACATTCTTGTATTGGGTGGCTGGGCCTGGTTCCTTCATCTTCTGCAGTGCATATGCTGCTACTCTGTTATAACTCTGGGTGAGCTGGTTGAATACTGTTCCCATCCTCCTTACTCTATTCATTGGCTCAGGAGCTGTCTGTAGTTAGCTCCTGTCAGCTTCCATAGGGACCTAGAGCTAGACTAAGAGCAGGGTCCAGGCCCCACCTACTGCAGCAATCTTCAGTTTCATCCCCCATATGCCCACCTAGCCTTCAATCACTGTTGAGCTGTCCTAAGCACCTCTCTCCTTTTTTTTTAAACAACCCAGAGATTCCCTTGGATTCAGGCTTTGTTTCCCTACCTGGAGTGGATTTTGGTTGCCTCCTGGTGCAGGACTGGGCTGGATAGAAATGTTCATTGGTGTTTTTCTTTGGTTTTGATGAATCTTGACATTATCTGGCACTCTTCATTATTCCTGTGGTGGTTTTGTGGGGAGCTGGACTTAGCGGGAAACTTTCTTTGCCAGAAACCTCAATTTCTTTTTGGTGAATTTTCATTTAACATTAATAGGTAGGATATCTTCATTTTAACTGAAAACTGTGGTGAAAACTGTTCTCCTAGCTAGGGCTGGCCTCCATCAAAACTGCCCTTTCATGCTATATCTTCATTCTCTACTCACCCCCAACCTACATTAATCAAATCTATCCTAAAAACAAGATCTGATGTGCATATTTATTCAAGGTGTAAATGATTAATTTAATGAGTTGTCCCTCCTAACTTCATTTCCCATCTAATCATACCCCCTTTGAACTTCTCCATGTCACCAGGAACCTCATCATTCTACAAGATCACATTAGTGTTGGTGTTCATACCTTATCAGTATCTCTGCCACTGGGGCTTCTGTGATTAGAAGGCAAAGAAGAGAGCTAATCCTTAAATCCTCCACTTAAGGAAGACATGCAGGCCAGCCATCACTTTATTTTCCACCCAGCCATGCTCCTTTAGATTTCTCCATCTTACCCATTCCCCTGGTCTGGGTAACTTTCCCCACTACCACCACCTTTCAGTTCCCTTTTTATATGTTGTCTTCTCCTATTTGATTATAAGCTGGTTAAGAGTGAGGTCTTTCAATTGGAAATTGAGGGGGTACCCATCAATTGGGGAATGGCTGAACAAGTTGTGATATATGAATGTAATGGAATACTATTGTGCTTTAAGAAATAACAAGCAAAGAGATTTCAGAAAAACCTGGAAAGGTTTATATGAACTGATGCTGCATGAAGTGAGCAGAACCAACGGAACACAGTAACAGCAACACTGCGCAATGCTCAACGACTTAACTCTGCTCAGCAATACAATGATCTAAGAATTCCAAAGGATTCACTATGGAAAATGCTGTCCACATCCAGAGAAAGAATTGATGGAGTCTGAATGAAGACAGAAGCATACTATTTTCACTTTCTTTGGTTTTGTGTGTATGTGTGTGTTTTTCTTTTGTTCTGTTTTTTCTTTTACAACATGACTAATATGGAAATATGTTTCACATGATTACACATATATAACCTATATCAGATTGCTTGCTGTCTTGGGGAGAGGGGAGGGGAAGGAGGGAGGGAGAAAAAATTTGGAATCCAAAATCTTATAAAATATGAATATTGAAAATTATTTTTACATGTAATTGGAAAAAATTAAAAGCTATTCTTTTTAAAAAAAGAGTAAGGTCTTTCTTTTTTGTTTGTATTTGTATCCCCAGTGCTTAGAATAGTGCCTGATATGTAATAGTTGCTTAATAAATATTTATTGATTACTTGATCATAAATCTATATGATTTACAAATTTGGATGAAATCCAAATGAAAGGGACTCCAGAGGATACCTAGTCTATCCATTTCATTTTATAGATGAGGAAACTGAAGACCAGAAAGGTTAAGTGATTTCCCCATGGTCCCACAGAGAGCAAATGCCCAACCCAGGCCCTCTGATGCCAGAAACACTGCTTCATCCACTATGCCATATAAAGATTGGAGTCAAAGGAATAATCTTTCATTGTAAATTTTGGTGTACATTGGGAGCATCTGGGGTCTTCCTGACAATCCTTAAATCACACCGTGCTAGTGCCAATTGACATACATAGGTTCAACTCTGCTTCTGGCCTAGAGAGGCCAAAAGAAATGCAAAGAATCTGCTTTAAGATGAGGTGATAGCTCAGCATCTTTCCTTTGTCACCTGACTTCATGTTAGAAACTCAAGTCAGCTAGAACAGATACTTCTCTCTTTTGCCAGATCACAAATATGTACTTGAAAGGTCTTTGATTTTGCTTTTGCCAGCAACCACAAGGAAAATGGGAACTGTTTAGTTTCAATTGGAAAAGAAAAAGAAAAAAAAATCTCACATGCCTTTTTCACATATCCCCATTTCTCTAAGAAAACAGCATTAAGATAAATTATTTCTTAAGGGGAGAAGTAGAGGTCTTTTATAAACACATGATCCTTTTAACTTTTAACAGAGAACAGAAACAAAGGAAACCAAGCCAAGGAAGTCAGTTTGCTCCATTAAGCCAAAGGGGAATTGAAATGTGCATTTTCTAGAAACCTTTTCAATTTCCTTCTTATGGCCAGTTTAATTCAACAAACATTTATTAAACATCTACTATTTGCAAGAGTATGTCCTAATAAATAAGGAAAAAATATTTTTAGACAAATTTCTGGAATGCCCATCTTACCACTTTCCCAAAAATCCCCAGGACAGTCTCCTGGACATTTTAAGGAAAAATCATTCCAGTGTATGTAAAATAGATGCCCCTTCTACCACATTCCTTTCACAAAAACTTTCTGGGACCTTCCACAACTAATTCTAATCTAATAAGTAGTACCAGAGGAGGAGCTTAATATAGATAATAAAAACATAAAACAATACAACCTCCTAAAAAGTGTAATGGAATGTCCATACAATGTAGCATGTGATAGGTGGGGACAAATAAGTCTATACAAGTTGTTTTAGGAAAATTTGAGGAAGGAGAAAATACTTTTATTTAGGAAGAACAAGGAAGGCTTTATGGAGAAGATGGAATCATTAAAAAAAACAACAGGATTTTAATAGGTAGAGATGAGAATGAAGCATGATATAGGCATAGGGGACAGCCTAGTAATTGTATAAAAGTGGGATAGAAGGTCAAGATTAGGGAAGAGGTATTAGTCCAGCTGAAACACAGGAGTGCGTGAAAAGGAGTAATGTGAAATAATACTGCTAAGATAGATTGAAGTCAGAATATGGAGGGCCTAAAAAAGACCAGACCAAGAAATCTGTATGTCATTCTAGAAATAATAAGAAGCCAGTGAATGTTTC